GTATTTTGTCTTAGCAATGAGAAAAGTAACTAAGACATTGACCACTATCTAACCTAGACAACTCTTTCTATCTCAATCATCCATGTAACTCACCTCTCAGGAACCCAGAGGAGCTCTGAATTTAGGAATGAGGACGCAGGAAGCAAGAGGTAACAGCTTCTAGTCAGAATCACTGGAAAGAGGACTAGACACAGAAGGGATGGACAAAAAGCAAAGAAAGCCTTTCAATACAGACTGTCTGCAGCAAGACAGTGAACGCAACAGTGATATATGTGCACCCATGTTTATAGCAGCACGGTTTGTAATAGCTAAAGCTTGGAAACAGCCCAAGTGCCCATCAACTGGAGACTGGATAAAGAAGATGGGTTTTTTTTTTATAAAATGGAGTACTACTCAGCCATAAAGAACGAGATACTAGAGACATTTATAGCTAAATGGATACACACTGAGGCCATACTCTGAAGTGAAATAAATAGGACACACGTGTAAATACCAAGTAGTTTCCCTGGTGTGAGAAACTGAAAGTGTAAATAAGGATCAAAATGTATAACAGATAATGTGAATAGAAAGAAAAAGCCTAAAGGGGAAGGGAAAGTGGGAGGGGTAGGGAGAAGGAAAGAAGAGAAAGGAAAAAAAAATAGGAGAAAAAGGAAAAAATGGAAATAAAGTCTTTGTAAACGGGGGGGGGGGGGCCGAAGGGAGGGCAGAGGAAGGGAGAAAAATAAGAACCAAGATATAGGGCTGGGGATTTAGCTCAGTGGTTCTGCCACCTGCCTCATAAGCACAAGATCCTGAGTTCGGTCCCTGGCACCAAATAATGAAAAAAAAAAAAACACAGAAGAACCAAGGTATATCATGTAAAGGTACAAATTCCCAATGATGAATGTCATCATATTGTACACCTAAAATGTACCAATAAACTTAATGAATAAAAAAAAGACAGTGAACGTATAAGCACATCACTGGAACTTTAGCAGAGGAAAATCTAAAATGCTTCTAGTGGGAAGGCTTCTCTTTCCTGCCCCTTGGGATTTTAATAAAAATGTTTAGAGAGGAATGTTACATGTGCATCCCCACTCCATCCATGGGCAAGTTTCCTTAATCTCTGAAATTCTCACTTCCATTCCCTAAGTGGTATCTCATGCTTACTAAACATAAAATTCCCAAAGGTTACATAACTTGCGAGATTAATTTGATCAACTCAATTCTTATATTTAAGCAGGCATTTTACAAGCACCACAAAGGCACAGTAGATGCAAGACAGAAGAAGGTGGGCAGGTAGAGTGGCGAGCAGTGTCTGTGTACCAGTGTGCTTCACACGAATGAAACAGCAGAGCAAAGGTTCCAATGCCCAGTGCAAACCCCGCTGGCTCCTCACATGTTTGGACTTCTGCAGGTGATACTACTCTTTCCATCATCACCTCTCTCTAGTCAAGTTCCCTTCACTCTGCACCTGAGTTTGAAGACTCTGACATGATCACTCAAAATAGCAGAAATTAAGGAGACTAAAAAAGGGCAGATCCTTTGTTGGGAGACAAGATTGTGAGTAAATTCTTTTACTTTATTTCCAGCTTTCTTACATGGATTGTTTTGATGGTAAGATTAAAAATTAAGGGGCAAGTGTGGAGGATTTGGCTCAGTGGTTCCAGTGCCTGCCTTGCAAGTGCAAGGTCCCCGAGTTCGATGCCCAGTACCAAAAAAAAAAAAAAATTAAAGGGCAGAAAGCAAATTTCTTTATCAGCCACTGGGTTAAAACAAAGATCAAAAAAGGATAAGCTAAACTAGTTTAAAACTTCTCACTGAAGCAAGCTGAAATAATAGCAGGCAAAATTTATTGGGCACTTAAACTAAGCAGTAGTCACTGTGCTCATTAGTACTTGACATTATACTGTGAGATAGGTACTATTATCCCCATTTTACAGGTATGAAAACAAACTTAGAGAATTAAAGTAACTCGCTCAGGATCATACAGCTATTTGGTGCTGTGCTAGAGCTTTACTCTGATTCAGTATCATGAGGAAAATACATGACATTTTTATTAAACACAAATACTTGTTCAAAAATGAACATGCATTCATAAAGAAAAGGATCTAGATACTGTAAGAGTTGGCTAAATAAAACAAGTTAATTGTCTGTCACTTGGTAGTAGACCTCTAAATATCTATCATAGTCACTACCAAATAGCTCCACAATAAAGAACTATTTAATTCAATCTCCCAAAATAATGCTATAGATTCTGTAAATGAAATATGCTGCCCTTTTAGTTGTGAAAATGCATGTCTTGATTTATTCGCTGTCCTGTTTCTGCTCAGTTCCTCCCTTCCTCCATTTCCTCTCTGCCTTCATATCCTTTAAAACCAGTTTAGTTCCTCTTGCTCAAGAATACCTACAAGCACACTTTACCCAAGAGAACTCCAGCATTAGTCTGTGTTGAACAGCTGTAGGATGGTACACACTAGAAAAAGGAACTCGAGTAGAAATACATTTCCAATGCATCTTCAGCTTTAGATCTATGCAACTGCAGAATTAACTGCAAATATTCTAGTTTTTTTGTTTAACTTCACACTTGGAATCCTGCCTTTATTAACACCCAAAGAGTGTTTCCTTTTTTTAGCCTTTCTTCAAAATAGTTTTCCACAAATTTTCCATAAATACTTAAAAAAAAAAAACCAACAAAGCTGGGTGTGGTGGCACACACCTATAATCCTAGCACTTGGGAGGCTGAGGCAGGAGAATCAAGAGTTCAAAGCAAAACTAGCCTATACAGCAAGTTCAAGACCAGCCTAGCGAGATCCTGTCTCAAACTAACAACGACAAAAAGAACCAGAATACAAAAAAAGCAAATGGGCTGTTATAGTAAGAAATATAATCATATTTTTAGTAACAGTTTATTCTGAATCATTTCTAGAACTTACTACAAATACTACAAGTAAATAAAGTACTATATACATAAAATGTTACTTATCAATACACTAATGCATACTTCCACTCATTCGCTGGGCAAGTAACTACTGAATGCCCACACAGCATGACTTTTTTTCCTCTCTGAACAAAGATGATTCCAACAGATAAGGGCACAGGTGCTGAAGTTAAAATGATCTTCATTTGAAGACTAACTCTCATACTGAGACCTGGAAGTCAGCTGAACTCCAGGGTAACATTTCACTTATTTGATGGGAGGACAGTAATTACACCTAGGGTCTTTGTGAGCTTTAAATAATTATGTAAAACATTTACCATTGGGCCTAACACATTGCTCTCTACATGACCACCATGGGAGATTATCTATAATAATCAAAAAAGTATAGTTGAAGAGGATGGCCACTAAATGCTCTTTTTGTCTTATTACAAAAATGGAAATCTGTGAAATTCTGTATCAAAGAAATAATAACACTAAAAATCCTAGGGTTATGTAAAAAATCTTCCACCTTTTAAAAAGCTTTTAAAAAATTATAAACTAATAAATTATAAATCCTAAGGTTATGTAAAAACTCTGCCATCTTTTAAAAGGAGTTTTTAAAAAATTCTAAATCCAGTCCCCAGAATGTGCCTCACATATTTCCTCATGTTCTGGAGATATCAGATTTGAGCCCTGAGATGTGCTGAACAATGGTAGCTTCCCACTCAATAATTCAAGTTCTGGCCAAATTTTCTCAAACCAGTTGACCTTTCATAATAAAGGTAAACAAAGGGAGTATTTATGAATGCATTAAAGGGTAAAAAAAAAAGCAAGCTTTTCAGTTGTTTGCTAATATCACACCAAGTCATCAGAAACCCACAAGTTTTCGGCATCCTTCAAGAAACAATGAAATACTTCCAATTTTACTTTTAAAATTGCAAGGCAATCACACTCAGCCCAAAAATCTAAAGGTGAGTACATCAGAGTTGCTATTATCTTTAAATTCTGCAAGACTCCATTAGTAGTCGTACAAAGATTTTATGTAATGTTTCTAGGTTGCTTTTTAGGTTTTAGCACTGATTAACAATATAGCAAACTCGCAAAAGGAAAGAAGCTATTAATTTCTTTGATGGGTTTAAGAAGCTTAACCTACAGTTTATGCTACCTAAATTAACAACACAAAATTCCAAGTCACACCTTGCCGCCTCTGAGTAAGCAAGCAAACACTAGTAAAACAGACCAGAAGCAGGCAGTAAAGCAATCATTTCCGTGCTAACCTTAACTCCTATCGTAAAAGGGGATGGTTCTATCAAAACTATTCCTAATTCATCAGGAATACAAATGTTAAATGAAGCATCCTTGCGCGGGCAATCATTCGGCAACAACGCTCACGATCAAACATCCGAACAGAGCATCCTTCTACAGAGCCAAAGTCTGTAGTTTCAGCCTCGGTTTACCATTACTTTGCACCACGCAGGCGTCTTTTTTTCTTTTTCTTTAATAAGCAATAAACTTTCCTGTGATTTCTGAGACTGCGTCTGTCCGCGCTTCCTGCGCACCCTGGAAGTCAATAACGACGAAGTCAAAGCTTAGCATTTAGGAACTTGGCGGAACGCGGGGCCCGGACGCCAGGCATCCGCCCACCGTCCTCTCGTGACTCCGGCTACTTTGACGCACCGGGATGCGGCTCACCTGACTCTGCACCAAGCATTCCGAGACGGAAGCCAAGTCCGCCGAAACAAAATGGGTCCCCCGGAGGTGCGGGCGCCCCTCTGGCAGTCGGGGCCGCGCCGCCCCCGGCCCCTCCGCGGCGCGCGCCACCTGCCAGACCCGGCCGGGCTCAGCCGCGGGAGCTGCCGCTCTCTCCCGACCCTACGCGCCCGCCTGGCCGCGCCGCGGGGGCAGGAACCGGGGCCGCGGTTTCCGCCCGGGGCGGCCGAGCCCGCCGGGGGCCTAGCGCGGGGCTGCCCCGGTTCCCCCGACCCGGGCCCGCCGCCCCGGCCCGCAGCTACCCTGGCCCGGCACGGCCCGGTCTGGCCCGCAGAGCCTCGGACGGCGGCCGCGGCGCCCGCACCTGCCCGGCGCCCTCGGCTTCACCCACCTGGCGGCTCTCCGCGCCTTCCGCACGTCACGGCGCGACCCCGCGCTCCTCAGCCCCGCAGCGCGGCGGGAGGGCGCCGGGAGGTCCTGCTTGGCCACCGCCCGGTGGGTCTCAGGCCGCCGGCGAACCTGTTGCGCAGCCTGTCACGGGCTCTGGGCTCCGCCGGCGCCGCCTCAGCCCCACGCCAACATGGCGGCCGCGGCCTCCGCAGGAAGCCGGGGGGCGGGGAGCAGCGACGGGCCGGGCAGTGACGGCCCGCCCGCCGCCGGCGCCAACTCCCCACTCCGGAGCCCGAAATGCCGAGCGCGGCTCCTCACCCCGGAACCCAGGGGCACCGGACCCTGCGGGCCACGTTCCGAGGCTCCTCTGCCCTCCGGGAGGCCCCCGAAGGTCGGACCTGGCAGCCTTCCTGGAGCCGCGACGACCCACCTGGCTCCTCCTCCCCGAGGTGACAGGCTGAGGTTGCGTGGTGCGCTTCCTGCCACAGCAGACCCGGCGCTCTGGAAAGGGCCGCGGAGGCCACACCCCCTGTGGCACCCCCTGTGGGGCTCGCTCACCGAGGTCTCCGCTGATCTAGGGTGGGAAGTGGGAGGGAGGCAGGGTCGCTCCCCATCCTTGGAGCTCTCCCAGGCCCTCCAGCCCGTGCCCCCTAAAGGACTTAGTAGTGCCCGAGGGTCCCGATTCACCATTCCTCACCCTCCTCCACGACACACAGCGAGGGCCATCGAAGAGCACCTCTCCGCCTGGAGCAGCCGCACACACTCCCCTCGGCGGGAAGACTCCCGAACTCGCCAGCCCGCAGGAGCTAGGCCCGCAGCCATCGTGCAGGTGATGCTCAAACTCAGAATTTCTTTTTCCCCTCTTCAGACTCCACAGAAGTCTACAGTAACCATCCTGAAGTCCACCTCAAACTCCAGTAACCGCTGCATCCCCCCGACTTATACTTGACACAGCACTCGGGGAAGGGAAAGGCTTTCTTTTGGTTGGGGTAAGGGGAGAAGTCAGTGGTTCCTCATGAGCAAAATGGGGATCCAAGACCCAAGATTTCTGTTGGCTTTTTGAGGCAGGGTTGGGGCTGGTCTGATGTACAAAACTCAAACCCCGGCCAGGGATTTAGCTCAGTGGTTTTGCCGCCTCCTACGCAAGCACAAGGACCCGAGTTCGATCCCCGGAACCAAAAACAAAACAAAACGAAACTCAAACCCCTATGACTTCTGTTGGTATGGGAGAAAACTGCATAAATCAAATGACCCCATGGGTTTTCATTTTTTACCAGTTGAGGGGGAGGGTAGCTAGGCTTAACTTGGAGGAACAGCCTCAATGCCCTGGCCTCCGAACTGGCCAGCCAGCTGTGGTGAGGAATTTAGCAAACATCAGTGGTGATGAACAGGCTTTTCCCGCTCTCACACTCAGTGCATCACCCAGTCTTCGTTTAGGACCTCAGCAAGACCTGACCGACAGGTCTTGAGCTTCACTGACGAGGAGAAGTTTGCCTCCTTAGTGTTTGTCCAGGCGGTGCCTCACTTACTGAGGAGCAGTCAACATGTCCCCCTCTTCGACCACCCCAGTTGTGGCTTGTACTCTTCAGCACTAGACTTCTCAGATTAATTGTAGTGTTCCCTTTCTGAGTACATGCAAAGACTAAACCTCAGAATCCTTTTTCACATAGGACTTCCTCCCATCTATCAATGTGTCATACGGGTTTTGAGGTTCTACACCTGGTATAAGTCACCCTGAGCCTCTTTTTCTCTGAAAACAGCACCATAGCCACAGCAGAACAAAAACGGAGTTTATAGAAAGGAATATTTACTAAAAAAGAAAGAAAAAAAAAATGTTAAAAAGTCCCCTAAAATAAACTAAAATGCTCACAACCTCTGATAGGAATTGGGGTCCTGTCCACAGGCCTGCAGTATCCCAAGCCCCAAAACAACTGCATCCCAGGGTTCCGTTCAGAATTTGGAGGCTAGTGGGTCTATGCTATCCTGCTCTGTCACAACCATCAACAGAAGACCCTCCAGTCATCTATCGTTTCTCATCCGTGTGTGTAATTCAGGGACGAATTTGCACAATATTAGGCATTTGGTGATTAGATATAAGAAATGAGGAAGGAAAAGAGGGTCTCTGAGTAGGCGTAGGTGATAGTTCTATTCAACCACATGAAGAATGGAATATAGGAAGGATGCATAGACCTTGGAAGTGGCCAAAGAAATATTTTCCTTGCTCCTCTTGCTGCTTCTAGATCATTGTCTTCTATTCACATATAAAAGTCCTCTTCCTCTCCCCTCATTCCTATTGTGCACCTACGGCCCGGACACTCGGTATTTACCAAGAGTTTCAGCACCTGGAGCAGCCAGTCCTCTCCACCCAGCACCCATCATACTTAGGTGTTAATGATTCACACAGGCGATGCCTCCGCCGTGCAGTTCATTGACTTCCTCCTCTCAGGGACAGACCTTGAAACTGTATCTGTAAATTTTCTCTTTAGTATTTCCCAAGTCTTACCACCTTCTAGCTGAAGATGAAATACCAGGAGGAACTAAATCCTACCTAAGACGTAGAGACATTCTTGTCAGTTCCATAGAAGATTAATAATACAGAATGAGAAGTCTGTGGAGTCAAGGAGTGGACAATGTATGCTACATTTCTCTTCCCTTGGTCCCACCACAATCAAGGGTAGATTCTTAGGCCTAAGAATGGAAACTAAGAAGGAAACCTAGCTGCTTCTTTTTTTTTTTTTTGGTACCAGGGATCGAACTCAGGTCCTTGTGCTTGCAAGGCAGGAGCAGTGCCACTGAGCTAAATCCCTGGTCCTTGGAAACCTAGCTCTTACCATGGGGACATTTAATCTCAACCTGTTTTCCTCCAGTGCTCCTCAAGCATTTATGGTGGTACCTTAGTACTCATCATTAATTGGTTCCAGGAGGCATGACAATTCCAGTACCAAAAAGAAGTACCAAATTGTTTGGGCTGGAAAGGGTAAGTGAGTCAGAAGGCAATTGACACTGACAAATTCTGCCTTGCATGCCAAGTACCAAATAAACAAGTACTGAGGCAAAATTTTCACGTCAAAATGTGTCTAGTGCAAAATTCAATGAGTTTCAAAGCAGTTGAGTACCAAGGCATGACTGTCTGCCCTAAGTTCTATCAATCTCCCCTTCTGCTGGTTTCCAAGACTCCATTCTTCACCCTATTCCTGCCCAGTTTTCCCTCAAAATAAACCTGCAGTGCTGAGAACAGGCTACAGTAGATTGAAGCTGTCGTTCCAGGCTCCAGGCATCCCATAAGATAAATATATTCTCTCATAGAGTAGGAAGCCTGTGAGAACTTGGAGCTCGTGTATTATGTAAGGCTTTTACCAAGAACAGATCGCTCAAGACAATGCTATAATTTTAGTTTTAAACGAATAACTTATAAAGAAATGAAGAGGATACAGGCAACAGATTTAATCTTTTAAAAAATTCATTTAAAAATTTTTATTAGTACATGTTTGCAGTACATAATGATTACATTCATTGTGGGGGATTGGTACGTGTACAGGACACATCTCAGTTCTTTTCTCCTCCATCTCCTTTTCTTTTCTTTTTTGCCAGCATCAGATTTATGTTTATAAGTCTTTATCAAGTTAATTATCATAAGCACAGATTAACAGCCAGACTAATAGGCCAAAAAACATATAAAGCCTGGAAAATAATTCTACTAAATCAAGGGACACTGTTAGATACATTGGCCATGCTGGGCTACAATAACTTCTCTCTCTTTTTTATTTTATTTTGTGTATTGGTTTTCTCATTTAAGAGAAACCATGGGATATCTAAGCTTGTGTGTCTGATGTACCACTTAATGTTACGGTCTCAAGGTGCACTCATTGTCCTGCAAAGGACTCAAGTTTATCCTTTTTTATTTTTTTTAAATTTATCTTTCTTTGTGGCAGAGCAGTACTCCATTGTGTAGAAATATCACATTTTCTTTGTCCATTCATCTGTGGATGGCAAATAGGCTGTTTCCAAGATTTAGCTGTTCTGAATTATGCTGCTTATAAACATGGGATTGCATGGATCACTGTAGTATGATGTCTTTAACTCTTTCGGGAAGATACCTAGAAAGGCAATAACGGGGTCAAATGGAATTTCTATTTTTAGTTTTTTGAGGAATCTTCATACTGATTTCCACTGTGGTTGTATGAGTTTATATTCCACCAACAATGAAGAAGGGTTCCTTTTTTCTTGCAGCCTCTCCAACATTTGCAATTGTTTGATCTCTTGAAGATAGCCATTCTTCCTGGAGTGAGATGGAATCTCAGTGTTGTTTTAATTGCAAGAGATAGTCTTGCCCTCCTTCACGCCCTCCACCCTTCCCTATTTACAAAGACTTTATTTCCATTTTTTCCATTTCTCATCATTTTTTCCTTTCCCTTCTTTCCTTT